GGTGTGGTTGCAGCCCATGCCCCACTGCTGTTTCAAATGTTGTTAAACCTTAAAAGTATTTGTGTGCTCGCTGTGGGAAGCAGACGCACCCTCCAAGATCTGTGTAGACCGAGGTCCAAGCTACGCTCCACATTGGTTCGCCACATCGCACGCAAGAAACAGCGTAGCAGTGGGCCACGATCGTGCTGGAGGCTAAAGCATTGCACTGCATGTTAGTGGTTTGAACTATTGAATAACACAGCTGCTACAAATGACACTCTGTTTGTGAATAAATTTAGCCTACGGTCACCATCATGTTTCAACGGAATCCAGTCAGAGGTGTAGTTTCCGATTCAGTTGAGGGGATGCGTCCTTTAGGCCCTTCCCTCCCCCAACTTAGCCCCATCCCCCCAGTATTGGGGCAAAAGTAAGCCGAAGCCGTGGAGAAACCCGTTTATTGGCGTGCTTTGAGGCAGGTTGCGTCATTTTTAACCGTTTAACCCCCCCCCCCCCACCCCAACTCATCTTGCGAAAAACACGTCTCTGCAGCCAGTCGCGTGGTGCAGATGACACGGTTGACATGAGGACCATTTAGGTTAAGTAATGGGAAAAAACATTCGCTCGTATTTGATGCTCTCCATTTCATTGGCATGTCAGTACGGAATCTGGTGCAGAAAGGGGTGCGCTCGCTTCCACCGCAGAACTCGATGTCAGCCTGGGAGGTGTTGCCTCCAGTCCGCCAATGCCCATGCATCGCCAAATACCAGAGCTGCGCGTATCTCCCGGCGCATCGCCGCGTCACCTGCAGGGTGGTCCAATACACAGGTTCTCTGAGTGGTCGTATATTTTCGATATCTTTACAGTATACACGAAATGGCAATCAGTACTGAGAATAGAATTACCAGCGCCAGTTTATAGACACCACGTCCAAAGCTGCATACCTACGTGGCCCGCAGGAACGTAGCCAAGGAGGGGGCCAAATGAGCCGTCCTCCCCTCTCACCGAGCCGATGTTTACACAGCATACAGCTACAACGCAATTTCGCAGAAATTGTGTAAATCCCCAGAATTTTGTTAGAGAAAATTTGACAATTCGATTAGAAAAGTTTTGGCTACATACGTAAGATTCAGTCACGCTACCACTATCACTCGCCCTGGAAGACATCGGTAAGGCAACCCCGCAAACGAACGAGGCTGAAAGTCCTGTTTACCCACAACAGCTGGAATACTAAGTATTTGTTGCCTCAAACACACAGCGCCAAATAACTTGAAGAAATACCCGATACACAATGATATAAAGGCCCAAAAGCGCAAAATAGATGCGCGAGGTAACCTCACCAACACATTACAGTCCCTAAGCTACCCTCCCCTGTGCATAAAAAAACAATCATTGCACAGTCTAAACCCCGGCTAATACGAGCGTAAACAATAAACATTTGCCATCACTCCCTTACCCACCTTTACTCTACGGTGTTTTGCCTCGACTGCTGTTAGCGCGCCATTACCAAACATTTTCCCGCCACCCCCTTACTCCATTTATCTAATACTTCGGGTGGAGTCGCACAAAAAGGGCGGGAAAGCAAACACCTCAAGGAGCATCCCGGCCTAAAATGGCGATTTTAACGAGGGCGGTACCAAACACGTCCTTTTTGCGCCGAGCATACGCGGTAGGGCAGAACAAACTTTTGGCAAAATAAGAGATGTCTCCAACCGCGTCAACTAATCGACCAACTAACGCTTACACCTGGCACACTCCTACGAGCGCGAGTTGTTTAAGCAGTAGGCGTATGTGTGGCATGTGCCGATCCGTGAACAATAAAGCGATACGGCCCATTGCTCGGGGATGATGCCATAGTTCCGGTCACCCTCCCACTTGGCATATTACCATGCGCAGCTTTTGAGCAGCCAACCGCGCGTCCTTGGACAGCTTGACCAGGCACCCCGTTATTGCACAGAGTAGTTTGTAACGCCGTACAAACAATCCCAGCGTAAACACTGTAACCGAGGTTGGCCTCGCCTCTATTAGGTTCGGAGATCCTGGACAGATCTAAACCAGACCTGATGGTCCTTGAGCACGTCACATCTCAAGATAAATTGCTGAACCCCAGCAAAGTTTCATTCGC